CCCTTGAGGTCCACATATTATATCACCACTGAGAATTATATACCGTGCACTGCCCTTGAGGTAAGTCTACGGTAAGAACTGAGATGCATCTCAAAATGTACTCGTTATTGCGTAAAGATTTACTCAGGTGTTACTCTTGGAACTTGCAACACTTGAATTGGAATTCTTATTCGAAAATCATTCATTTTCTGAGAATAACTAAGATATATATAACATAGAACAAGTTCTTCAGCACGCTCTGTTATCTTAGATCTGATTAATGAAAAACAAACCAAACTTTAACAGCGAGAAATACTGTATAAGTAGATAGTACTTAGTGATGTTAGGTTAATATGTATTGAACATTCGCTACGTGTAGCAGAACTTTGTTTGGAATTAAGCTACACGATGGGCTATCTGCGACCTGCCCACCACGGGTATCGAAACCCGGTTTCTAGCGTTGTAAGTCCGCAGACATATCGCTGTGCCACTGGGGGGGGGGCTGTAGCAGAGCATCAAGTATTAAGTGCAATGAAGTTATTTCGAGGGGCTGTAAATAACATGTTACACAGCTAAAAGGGATATATAAGTTAAAAGCGTTTTTTAGTATTTTTTATATTCCATTTAGCTGTTTTTACATAAATGTATTAGTAACGGTGTTACATAGAATAAATTCAAATGTTAAAATAAACGTCATACTTTACGTGCTCGTGAATGAAAGGGGGATATTTGAAATTTATTCTTTCCCTAGATGTGTATTTTGTTGATGTGTTTGTATAAAATATATTTATTGAATAAAAGTGGTTTACGTATTGAAGGTCCGTTTTAGGAATGTAATGAAAAGTACCCGATAAATTAACAGGGAAAAATATAAATTGAAACTCATAGCACTTTCCCCTCTCAAGAATTGTAATTACAAGTTCAAACGTTCACCGAATTTCTTTTGAAATAAATATAAAAACTTTTATCTCATAGTGGTTGGAATTATCTTCAACTTTCAACCGGAAATACTTGTAATGTGGGAAGAGGTACCTCAAAAACCCGCAAGATAAAGTTATGATGTCTGAAATATACTTTAATTGTGGTAAAAATAACTTCTGATGGTAGCATTTTAAAACCGTAAATCAAATATTGATATACATATTAAAACTAATTCAGTGTTGTTTGCGCAGTTTCCGCTTGCAGAAGGTAGTTTCTTTCCGGATTTGGAACGAAAGTTGATTTACACTGAAGGAGGCACGGAATGGATTCCTGCTGAGGATAAACAAAAATCGAAGAATTTCAAGGAGGAATCTAGAAAACATCTAACGTCTCGTTTAGGGAAAAATTATTTTAACTTTGAAACAAAGTTTCTTGACAAGAAACCTACGTTCGTAAGTCATTTCAATGAACTAGGTGAAGGGAGAAGAAACGACAAAGTCTGGTGGCGTCCTCTTCTGCGAGAAAATCAAAACGTGAATATATTTCATCGTCAAGATGACGGGAAAAGCTTGCATGATGAAGATCATGGATGGTTAGAAAATCTAAAATTTCTTGAAAAATTAAGTTATAATCCAGGTAAGTTTCTTTGGAGAACTATAACATTTTTTACTATTTTTCTAATTATTATTTTTGGACAAAATTTTACATTGTACGTAAAAATAGTGAAAAAATGAAATATTTATGTCTCATCAGACAGACATATTGTTTTTCTATTGTTTCTTCCAAACTCTTTTCAATCGACCGCCTTTCCTTCATTTCTTGGCGGACTGACTTGGAACTTGGTAGGGTTACACCTCGGACCTTTTTAAGGATTTGGGGGGGGGGGCAAAGGTCAAATAACCCAAAAATTTATATTTTGGGCTCCTTTGCGGTCATATTTAAAGCAATCAAGATGAAATTTGCCTCAAATATAAATTTTTATGCGCTCAAGAAACCGACTTACAAAAAATTCGTATTTTATTCTTTTTGAGTCTTTTTAGGGAGTCAGAGGTTGCAGAAAAGCATAATTTTGGGGTTTTTGGTCAATTAATTAATCTTGTTTCGATCAACCTACTTGGAATTTGGTACAAATACACATTGACAAAGAAATATGTTGGACTTGCTCATTTTCAGTAATTATATGGGGGTCAAGATGCCACAAAAAGCATGATTTTAGAGGTTTATTTTATACTATTACTCCACCGAGTTTCGGCCAATTTACATGGAATTTCGTATAAAGTTACTTTTTTACAGGTCCCAAACAGAGATATGGACAGTTTTGTAATTTTTTGTCTTTTGCTTAATTTTTCAGCAAGGAAAGCACAATTTGGGTTTTTCGTAAACTAGTCATGTGTATGTCAACCAACTTACTCGGGGTTTGTTACAAAAATACCTTCTTACAGTCTCAAACAGTGATATAGACATTTTCGACTTAACTGTGTTTTCACGATTTTTCTGTTATCATCATTGGCCATGCTGGGATTGCATGGCGGAGACATGTTGCATTCGCTCGCGAATATTGACCTCTTTATTAGTTGAAAGTGAGGCACATAACTAAATGTAGCTCAGCTGTAAGCTTGAGGACTTACGAATAAAAATAACGTGTAGGAGAATTGTGGTTTTCATTTCTATGTTTTTCGTACATCATTTAAAATACATTTCGCTGTCTAATTGTATAAACTTTCTGTGTAGTTTTAGTTTTAAAAAATATGGGTATGAAGTGGTTTTTAGTAGATTACAGACTAAAGGACAGTGAATATCTCGTACAGGATACCAGTGTTTTTGTTTTTTTATAACCTGTGATATAACAAGATGTCAATGTGATATCTTGTGATTTTAAACTTTGAGATGTAGAATATTATAGTGGCATATTTAACGTCAGTGCAATCGGAGCAACGAACCGACGGGCCTCCAAAGTAATGCAAGAAAACAACAGCAAAAAAACATATATTTCTATATCTCTAGCTGATCAGTAGGGATAGTGTCCCTAAGAAAACTGTACTGAGTAGTTTGAAGTGTTAAAAACGCTTCTGGTATACTAGGAGGTGTTGGTTAATTATAATGTTATTAAAGTGTATTATTAACTTGTGGTATAACAGGATATTATTGTGGTTTTGTTTTATTTCAGTGTTTGTGGTGTAAATTATACTAGTCTGATATTCTTTGATTTATCGTTTATGATTATAACAAGATATCACTGTGATAGTATTTGACATTAGGACTTGTGATATAGCATGACGTGAATATAATTTTCTTTGATTTATCAAGTTTAATAAACAGCATATAAGTGTGATATTGTTTGATTTTAGAATATATGATATAACAATATATCAAGACTATGTTATTTGATTTTATAACTTGTGATATTTCGGCATATCAATGTGAAATTGTTTGATTTGTAGAGCATGAGCAATTGAAGTTTTTGGTAGCTTCAATGAAACATTTTCTGTTAAATCAAATTAAAACAATTAATATTTTATCACTGTGATAACAAAACAATCATAGAGACATGAAGACTTGTATATGTTTGACCCACTGAAATAACACTGCTAATGAGGTTATGTGAGGGTAACCATCCCACAGGAACTTTTACCCGCACAGGGTGTACAGCCTTAACGTGGAACAGCCAATTCCGGTTTTATCTTGGAATTCAACAGAAGTACATACACTTTGGAAACAAAGTTGGCGTAAGGTAAGAGGTGGAGGCTGGATTAACTTTCG